TTTTTCTATAGTCAACCTTCTTTTTATCCTAGCAACTATTTGATTGCAAAAAAGGTAAAATAAAGTGGTACTAGACACTTGGCGGGAAGCTCTTTGATGTTTCCTTTCCTCCTTTAAAAGATTTTTAAATTTGTCGTTATCTATTAGAGTAATATGAAATACAATTAATACTTTAAGGTGTAATGTAAAAAATTTTATAGTTAAGGATACAAAATGATACAAGGATAATAGTTTAGGGAGATAAAGTATAATTTACTCTTCTATTAAATGTATATCTAGTGGGAGGATTTTTTGAACTTTAAGAGTGACGATTGCCTCTTTCTATCCTTTATCCATAGATCTTAATCTTAGCCTCATTTGATTAATCACAAAAGGCCTCCAACTCACATAGTTCCACCAACGCACCACCAAGGCCTTTTTCAATGTCGTATCCAAGTGGGTTTTATGATTTTCAAATCATTTCTGGAAAAATTTGATGTTTCCATGTTTGTCCCGATGAAGTGCTCCAATTCAGCACAAAACCAATCCAGAGTGACCTCAGCACAATCAGTTATTGCCACATCAGCAATAATAATACATGGGGCCCATCTTTAGTGGGCCTTCAACTCCTAATGTTGAGATACTTTTTAGACACCTTATGAGGAGATTTAGATGGACAAGAAGTCATGGAAATTGAAGATATGGTTTTTTTTTTTTGATCAGAAGATATGGTTTACTAAGCTTATCTTGTTTGTAGTGGGTTATGTCATATAATGTAATAGATCAATCTTGATTCCATCAGGGAAAGGCTGACATGGGTGGACATTAGTGGTCACTAGAAAGTACAGGCATGGGCCTTGTTGTAGGTCTGGCAGTTCTAGAGATCACTCCAAAAGTGGGTTTGATACAAAATTAATGAGTTTAGAATTAGTCTTCACGGTTTAAGATGGTAAACACTTAAATGCATTAGACTCAATCGTTAAATATGTGAACACGACTCCAATTATACAAAACAAAAAACCTGCTAAACATTAGTTATATACAACACGAAATTCGACAAATAAAAGTCAATTATGAGTTTTGTAAATTCTAACACAACAAGAATCTGACATAACAAAACCTATTATCAACCCTTCACTTGGATATTACTTTGGTGTAAGTCATTTTTGGATATCTTCTCACCATAACTTTGACTTCTTGCATACAGTTTTATGCCGCAACGATAAAATCAATTAATGGTGATATAAACAGTACGATACTAGAATTATAAATCTAATTTCTCTCCACGCGTAATGAGTCTGAATATATAAATTTTAAAAATTGTAACTCAAATGTATATCATCCCTTAGATGAATAGGTCCCATCAATTTTTTAGTAGGGTTCACTTATCCCACACTTATCTAAGCGATGATATGTATTTGAATTTTAGTTTTTAACTTTCATATGGATTATGAAGTATGTTTCATTTTTAAAAATCTTATATTTAATGCTAAGTTAGTGGCATACATGAATTTGATTATGTTAATCAATATGTGAGATGGAATCTTAACTGGCCCAACGTTATTGACCAATGAATTCACCAAATTGAATACTTGGTATTATGTATGTTATTTCATCTTGTATAAGAAAATGCACCATCCTTTTTGGTTCTGAGCTTGTAGACTCTAGGTCTTTAGGTAGGGTTTAAGATGCAAGTTTACCACTCTCTTCCCATTCCCTCAATATAGTGGATTGATACTTCCCAACCAGCTCACTGTTCTTTCTTGAAGCACTTGAAGATTCTATTTCCAAAGCATCAAAATTCGGGGTATTTAAGGGAGATGACAAGAGTTTAAGGTCTCATAGTTGTAGCCAAAATGATCTAGATAGATGAGGGCCAGCAAAAATGTCTTAATTTTTTGGGTTAATTGAATTGAAGATTTTCAAAGTGTGGAATTTATGTATGTGTGTGTGTTGACTCCATATTTATTGTTTTGCCGTTGATTATCTTATATACTACTCATTAATTGCACCTCTTCATACACTTGACTATTGATCTTGAACGAGGCCAGTTTGTGCATTATCACTAATGATTAAAATTGTATAATTTTGGTAGCTCTTTGATCAAAATTTGAGTAGAAATTTAATAAGAATTGTTCAAATTATTTTTTTCCTCGTATTTAAGTATCACGTGATAAATTTATAATTAAAAATTATTAATAATTTAAACGTTGTCTGCTTGAGGGACCACACAAAAACATATTCAATATTTCAGAGACCAAAATTATACAATTAAAATATTAAAGACCAAAATAAAATAAACTTTATACTTTAAAAACCTCCAATACAATGTTTCTTTGATCAAAATAAGTTTAGTTTTAACAGGTACAGCAGATTTTTTGCTCTCTCTTCTCTTTCTGCAAAAACAAGGAGAATAAACTTTTTTAGTGGTACTTTTTTCAAAAATTTTAAAAATCTAGGTTCTTTTAAAAACAACAAAATGTTGTTTAACTTTTTTTCACAAATTTTTCAAAATTTTGGAAAACAGGAGTAAACAATGAGGTATGCTTTTCGGATTTCGTTGGAGGCAAAAAATAGTGATCGACTGTTCATCTTCTCCATTACTGTCTCTCTCTCTTTTCGTATCTTCTCCACTGCTGTCCCTCTCTCTTTCACATCTATTTATCTTTGAGTTTCCTCTCTCAATCTTTCTGCGCAACAGATCTGTTTATATACAGATCTTTGTGTGTGTGTATATATATGTATTTGTGTAATGTATGTGAGTGTGGGTTTTGTTGTGGGTGGGTGTTGGGGGGTGGGGGGGGGGGTGAGTGTGTACGATGACTATGCGCGTTTGTTTTTGCTGGGTGAGATGAGAGTGACTGTGTGAGAAGATAATGGAGAGATGGAGAGTTGCTGAGAAGATCTGAAGATAATGGAGAGCGAGAGAGAGAGAGATAATGGAGCATCTCACGTGACTACATGACTGAGTGTTTTTTTTTTCCCAGAAGTAATAAGTGAAAAAATTAGTTTTATGGATCATTATCTAAACAGGTTTTATTATTTTTTTTTTAAAAAAAATATTTTTAAAATTATATAACCAAATAATACAAAAATATCAAAAAAAAGTTTTCTAAATTTTTTTTTTTAAAATTATTTTCGAATTTTTTTTTGAGATGCCAATCAAAAGGCCGTAATACTTCCTAATTTTTAGCTTCCTCGAAATGCTGAGAGCTTTGCCTCAGGTGTCACATTTAGAATACTACAACTGGAACCAATAATTTCATTTGTGGGCCAACCCACAGAGCCATCATAGCCAGGTGCAAGCAGCTGATGGCTACAAGTGATACTCCTATCGTACATGTTCAAATTTGATTTAAACTCTTTAATTACTATGAGTGAGAGTTTGATGAACAATTAATGCAACAATTTTATACGAAATATGATTATTGTAGCAAAAATTTAATATATTATGAATAAGTATGTTAGATACGTGATAGGAAACATAAAGATCAAGTTATATTTAAATAGATTTGAATTATAATATTTTATAAATAAAAGTGTATATTATGTAATCAATTACCAGATGATTAAGAATAATACATTGATATAGATTTTTAATCCATAGATGTAAGTATGATATATCAAGGTGGATATATTGTATCAAATCACGTTATATTTTTATGTCATACTTTATTATTTTTTAATTTTTAAAATCTTATTTTGTAATAAATAGTATTATTTATATTAATTATCTATAGTATAAAATTAACAAATAGTATGAAAGCTATGTTCCAACAATCCACATTCCTAAAGAAAAGAACTAATGTACGGATGCGTTGGCAATCATGGGAGTTCGGCAACAACGTGGTTTAGTTGTGTTGGCCCATTCCCCTCCCCACCTCGGCTATCTAGTTAATGCAAATCTTGTTACTATTTCTTTCAGCAACAACTCTGGTAATTCCACTTGTAGCGTGATGAGATCGATACATAGCACTTTTTCACTCTTGGAAAGTTTCTTGTAATTTATGTCCTCTTTTATTTGCGGGGAAGCTGATAAGTTATTTTTTTTTTTTTTAACAATGAGGGATATTCAAATTAATTTGTGCACAGCTCGATTAATTATTTATCCAGTTCGGTTAAAAGTAAGTCATTCATGTCAGAATAGAGTATTCATGAAAAATAAATTTCTCATAGTCTAGTTATTAAGATTTGAACTCAAAATTTCTATATTTATAACTTGTCCTTATTATCATTTGAATTATCCCTTGAAATTAAAAGTGATAAGTTATAACACTAGCAAAAGTTTGAAACAAGGTGGTTTATCACTTAAGCTACCCCTTAGTTGATTTTAGTTGTATTACTTTTTTAACTATATAACACGGTACTGATGATTCAAATATAAATTAAAAAATCTAAGATATTATTTAACTAAATTATATATATGTTTCTTTTAGGAATTTATAAAAATTCTAATTTCTTAAATCTTATTTACGTACACGTGGTGTATTGCTAGTGAAATTTTTTTAAATTCTTAGTTTGCTATTTCTGCTAATTTTACACTACTTTCATTTTGCTCATACAATTTAAGTTACTAATTACAAAGAGCATGACTAGTGTATAAGAGTCTCGCAAACTGAGTGACAATTTTTTTATACTCTCGCAGCCAAAGTAAAGTGAGGATATCTATTGTTATTGTTTATTTTAAAAAAAAAAAAAAGGAAGTGAAGGGAACTTGGAATGCCACTGCAATACAAGACAATGAAACTTGATTGAAGAAAAAAAAAATACACATACCATAAAGACACGTGTACAGGGTTTTGAAAAGAAAGGGTAGCTTCAAGGGGCGGTTGATTAAAATTAAAATGCACATAACCCCAATAAAGGGGTACCAAATTAGGGGTATTTCTTACATGTTGTCGGCTTAGACTCGAAAATCGATATATTAAAAATCAAAGATAAGACTGTTTCACACTTAATTCTTACAAATTTTGTTACAAACAGGAACTTTAATTATTGTTTACTACCATTTTTAGGTCACATTAAACTTGATTCGAGGCGTCGATACTTTTATACTCGGATTCCCCTTGATCATGCTTGGTTTGGTCTTTGGCATCTCTGTTTTCGTCAAAATTGGGAAGGCAGCAAACTGTTTGTACCTCAAAAGTGCTTGACTTCACCATAGTAGGTAGTTTCTGCTCCTCTGCAGACTTCTTGTGGTTCTTGTAGATGGTGTAGAGTAGCATTTGAAGTAGTCCTAGTACGAATCCCACAACGTTCGGAACCTATAATTTTAATATTCAAACAAACAACAAGGGGCAAAATTTAAAAGTAATGACTTTGAATGTGTCCGCAGGAACTTCTCCGGCACCGAAGGCGATAACAATATTGAAAATTATAATTTTTTAAAGTTAAGTTATTATTTTTTTTATGTATAAGTTATAATTTAAATGACATGATCAATCATGAAATGTTAGAATCGATACCACATTTTTATGATCGATCATTATCTCCTTTAAACAATTATAAGTTATCCTTTTAAAATTGTAACTTTATCATCACTTGCAATTTTTTTGGAGCCTCAAATCACTTTTTGCAGAGAATTTATCAACTTTTAGAATACATATTCTTTTGGATTCGCTTACCATTTTTCAGGGGAAGTTTATCACTTTTAAGACTAAATTTATAATCTTTTAATTTTTTTTTTTAATTTTTTGATAGTACAAAAAAATCAATAGCAATCTTGCGAACCGCTAATATCCGCCGCAGGGTAAACTATCACCTCTCAGGTCTCCTGACTAATTCTACTATAGAGGCTGATTTCGTATTTACTATCACGCTAAAAATTGAGCTTTTTTAATTAAACACCCCATTTTGATACCACCTTAATAATGGTACGCATATAATTATTGTTAATTAAAGTGGTGCTCTCATGCTTACCGAGGGATGGACTGGACCTACCGGTCCATACTTGAGCACCCGGGAAAATTTTCAATTCTGCTGTTTGGTTTGGTTTGGTGTGGTTTGGTTTGTGTATCAAAAAAATAAATTTTTGAGAAGAATTTTTAAAAATTATTTTTAATATTTTTGTGCAGCAAAATTTGTGTTAGTTATATGATTCAAAAAATAATTTTATGAAATAGTAAATAATAAAAATTCTTTGAACAGTAGTTTAAAAAATAATAAAAATAGAAATCTAGTGACCGAAGAAATGTAGTGGTACGGTGGTGAAAGTATAGTAGTGGTGTTTTCTAAATTTTAAAAAGATTATTTTCAAAAACACAAAAAATAATTTTAATTTGTTCTCTAAATCTTTCAGTTTTTTTCTCAATTTTTAAAAAATAAAAATAAAAATTAATTGGTTAAATAATTTTTCATCCAGAAATTATTTTCAAAAATAAAAAACAGTTTCTGAAATACGGATTAAACTAAATTAAACTAAACAGGGTTTAGATCTCAAAAATTTTGGTAATCACTCCTCCATATTACAACCTGGCATGGCAGGTCAAAAATCCCGGCCCATGGCCTGATAATCTAACATGCCAGCCCACAGGACAGATATATGCTCATCATTGGCTGCCCAACGGTCATTTTATGCGGAGAGTTATTATATGGTAACCAAATATTTTTACAAATTATTCTTATTAAGTGACGTGGCACAATCTTGACCAATAAATAAAATAGGGTTACATTAATAGATAATGATCGAGGTAAGGGCAGCCCAATATAATTTGAGACCTAAAACAATAATATCGAATAAGGTCTTTTATTTTCAATATTAAAATTTTATTTAAAATTAATTTATTTTTAATTTTTTATGTGTGTAATAGAGGGAGAGTGAGTCAGTGTTGCGGAGATAAATGTTTTAAGTTTTGTTTTTATTTTTGATTTTTGTTAGAGAGAGAGAGTATGACTTCACTTTTGAGTAGATTTTTTTTACAGCAATGTTATTGGGATCTAATTTATTATGATCTTTGGATTGACTGTGAACCCCATCAAATATTAAAATTTAGTGTTGATCAAATTATTCTATTGAAACCACATCATTAGGTCAACAAATTAAGTCATATTTTTAAGTCCAAATAACATTACTCTTTTTTTATACTTTTAGTTGTTTTTTTTTAACTTTTGATTTTTTGGGTTTTTAATTTTATGGGTTGAATCATGGACCCAAATTATTGAAATTAAAATTTTTGATTTGAATTAATTTTTTTGGAATCTTTTAGTAGAACTTAAGCTAACTAAATAACTAAAATTATGGGATCCTCTCAAATTAAGGAACTAAAGCCCAAGCTTTATTAACTATGAGATAAGGTCGGCCGTGAATTGAGGTTGTGTGCCACATCACTTGCAATGATCATTTTATACAAAATTTTTGAGAAGCGAATGGTTATGGTTATGATTATGATTATGGTTATGCAAATAAGGATGATGATGAAATTAGAACATTGGCCCCACTAGGCTCTATGCCACGTTTTCATTTTATGCACGTCGAAGGTTTGTTCTATCATGTTGGGATGGGATAGGAGTTATGGCGTTGTAAGAAAGTTGGTTGAATCTTCTCAAGGTAGGGACGAGCCCCAAACAAATGTAATTGGAACAATTCTTCGTTATTAACAAACGAAGAGCACTTACCCCGATATAGATGTCCTTTAGTAGTAAACCGTAAAAGAACCACATGACAGCACTCATTGCGAGGAAAAATGACAGCCAAAATGGCATGAACTCTACACTCTTGGTGCGTATGACCTGTGCCTGCATGGCAAAGCAAAGAAAATATTATGAGAAGTTTCCATAGAAAACCATGTTTTCTTGTATCAAAGAATGCATGTATTAATGCCACACTCCTCACCATGATACTTAAAGGTGCTGCAAATACACTCACAGACAGTGCCATACATATCCATCCTACTACTCGAACTCGATTCAATCCTTTTAAGAAGAAGATTGTGAGAATCATAATCGACCAAAATCCCCCAAAATTCAGAAGTAGTAATAATTTCAACGTCAGAATCTGCAATGACAGCCCGAGTTAATAGTTACTCAAAAAAAAACCCTATTATTATCAAAAAATAAAGAACTTTCGTGCAATGGATTAGGGTTTCGAGCAGTACCCTGGCACTTTTTAGTGCATAAACAATGTACAAGGCAATATAAATGGTCTCTATGACACAACCGGCCGCGTTAATGGTGATGAGGAGGATAGCATTGGATTTGAGCCATGCATAGTATATCCACAACATGGAACTAAAGAGTGCAACCACATATGGGACTGATTGAAAGTCTTCAGTTGATTTTTTCTTGAAAATCCTGGAAAATGTTGGTCTGCAAGGATGATTCATATTTACCTCTAGTTAGTCCTCTAAGAACTTCAATTAATGGAGTTGTGAAATGGAAAAATTATTATTGAGAAGAACGATTAAACGACAAACTTACACCGGGGCAAGATACACCATAAAGGAAAGAATGTTACCTGTAACATTGTCACAATCCAAAAGGAAAGTAAATGAATTAGTAACATTGTCACAACACAAAAGAGATGTAGATGAATCGCACCAGAAGCTTAGCTTAAGCTTAAAAAAGGCATATACTTGGCCAAAGTGGTCAGATTTTTCGGTTTAATTGGAAATCTTTCTAACCGTGTACGTAATCTTTAGACTAATTATTCTAACTCGGAAAACACATGTTCACACTTCTAAAACCTTCATCCTAGATAGAGAAACATGGATATATATTGCAATGCAATCACATTAACACTATTTGAAGAAATAGCTGACGGGTGACTAAAATGACTGTGATTTTACCTAAAATACCAAAGGCAAAAACCCAAGCATGGTCAATGGAAAACATGACTTCTCTCTCTCTCTCTCAAGGATGGAATTTGAAACAACAAAGGTTCTACAGAACACCTAGCTTGGTTTGATCATCCAACCTATGCTACAACCCTGTTAAGTAGGTCTAACATATATATAGACAAGGGAGTATGTGTTGCTGCCACAATAATTGATTGGGCATGGTAGGCAGACAGATCAGCAGACAGATCAGCACCCACCAGCTGGGTAGCTGCCACGGTACCACCATTGATTATTGGAAGATTCTTGCAGAACGTCAAATAATGGCATGATAAATTAGTGACTTCTTGCAATTTGACATGCAACATAATGTATAGTTTGAAAATTAATACTCATTATATGTGTACAGTTTCATGGTAAAATATCACTATTATTAAAGAAATTAAATACGTAGTTTAGTAGTTAACTCGCAATGATATTAGATTAATGGTAGGACAAATGACAAGACATCAACACACCACATGTCAAGTTAATGTTCTTCAAACCGTTTTATATCAGAGTTTAATTGACACATAACTGATAGATTACATACTAATGAGATTTATGTTATACTTTCGAGTCCAAAATATACAAGTTTGAAACTATTACCTTGTATCAAAAAATCACTCTTTAGTGCATCTCCAACCATGACTCAAATTTGAGTAAAAAGTTTGATTTGGTATAGAATACTTTAACGGGTAAACTCAAATATCTATTCAAATCTTTTGCAAAATTCTCTTATTGTCTCAAAATCCTTTTTTTTTTTATTCAAATTATGATATTTGATAAAATAAATGAACTTTTATATCTCTCCACAAATGGGTAATTAAAAAAAAATGAATATGTATGCAACATAAAATGGAAATAAAGAAACCACCCTAAAATTTTAAGATTGTTCTAATCTCTTATCATTTTTTATAAATTTAGATAAAGAAAAAAGAATAAAAATAACTATTTTGACATAGACTTGGTATGAAGAACACAAAAACATATATTTTTAACAAGAATGAAAAATTGAAGAAATAAAATGACAAATTTTCTAAATTTATGAATAGCGAAGGCTTAAAATTTGAGGAAGAATTGGTGATCTAAAATTATACTACCGATAGTGTTTAACTTGAAAAAATCAAAGAAATTTTTGATTTCTTAAATTTTATTTACATGCAACACACGTGATGCATTGCTATTGAAAATTTTTTAAATTCGCAATTTGCTATTTCTGCTAATTTTACACTACTTTCATTTTGCTCATACAATTTAAGTTATTAATACAAAGTGCATGACCAGTGTATAAGAGTCTCGCAAACTGAATCGCAATTTTTTTATACTCTCGCAATTAAAGTAAAATGAGGATATCTATTGTTATTGTTTATTTAAAAAAAAAAAAGAGGAAGTGAAGGGAACTTGGGATGCCACTGCAATACAAGACAATGAAACTTGATTGAAAAAAAAAAATACACATACCATGAAACGCCCCAAAAATCATTTTGGACGGCATTGCAATTTAAAATCAATCATATCATGAGAGTATTAATATAATCCATAAATAAATGGGACTTCATTCATCCTCCATAAAATATTTACAACATTACCCAAATTGATATGTCGAAGCATGACGTTTACATCCCAAAAATTTTACTGTCATAATGCAGCGGAATTACAAAAGAAACTAGGCTTCAAAATATTTAAAAATGCATTTTCTAGTCTAGAACAAAGATAATGTTGCTCTAAGCATCCACCTCGGGATCCACATTCCCTTTTATAGGAGTCTCCTAGTGTGCCGGTTCATCCACTCCCAACTTTTCCTCTAGAATATAATTTGAAAAATATTATTTGTAAAGGGTGAGCACTAAGCTCTGTAGCAACATTTCTCCCATACTCGAATAAGGTTTAGAAAATCATATAAAAACGGTCGGTCATCTTTCACAAATAGCATATATGAATTTTGAAATAAAATCAGGACATTTAGACAATTCTTAAGTTTAAGCACAACCACAATTTATTGCATAAGGGAAATCAATATACAACTATTAATTCATTTCACCGTAAATCGTTTCTCCTAAGTTCTCGCGAAATCTCATACTTCTCAAGATTCTTGTAGAAACCATTTCTTGTACAATAAACCATAACCCACCACTATAATATACGACTAATAATTCATTCCACCATAAACCGTTTCTCTCAAGTTCTCGCGAAATCTCATACTTCCCAAGATTTTTGTAGAAATCATTTCTGGTACAATGAATAATAACCCACCATTGTATTCGTATCTCAGGTATGAAGTAAGATCTAGCATGGTCACCATTGAAAGCATCATGTCCCACATATCCACAAACACAAATCCTCGCAAGGATATCCAACTTTTGGGAAGGGCGTGTGTCAACACAATGACAACGATGAATCCAACCCAGGCATTAGTATACTAATCCTCTGACACGGCACCCGTGAGTTAATAGTGGTTTGATCATAGCAGGCACCAACCCCACTACGAGTGGTAGGATATGTCCAAACCTACACGGAGTAAGAAAACGTCTACCCACTCCATAATACCCAGTCAATTGTAGCCCATGTTTATCCAACCGACCACACAAGAGATACAATACCAATAATTCTATCATTAGCAAACAATTTCTAAAACCCTCAATTCCATAAGTATTTTCAAGAGCACAAGTAATTTCAACAATTCCCAAATTTTCACATGTATCATTTCAATAGAACATTGAAGAAAATACAAAAGATCATCAGCAATATCATTTTATTACTCAACACAAAGCACTAAGGTTTTGAAATCAAGAAGCAAGGAAGAATCAAAAGGAAAATTCATTACTCTTGAAAACTAAGGTTTTAAATCAAGAAAAAAAAGATTTCATGTGTATTCAACCCTAACTTTGTTTAAAACATAATAATAATTGCAAGAAGACCAAGAAACAAAGAACCCATAGCAAATACATAAGATTAGGAGTCAAAACATACATATATATTAGCCCTAGCATCAATGAACAAGAATGGAAGAAAACTCCTACCTTGTTTGTAATTTGGGAAGAAATGTAGAAGATTTGATCTTTCCCCCAAGTTGAATCCACTCTTAATCTCTTGTTTTTCTCCTACTTTCTTCCTCTCTAGGATTTTCTAGGGTTATAAGTATTGAAATGGGGTTAAAGAAGGCGTCCTACTGTATTTATAAGGTGAGAAACGGAGACAAAACCTGAAATCGGGTCGAACTAGGTTTTACCGAGCGTACCGGTACTGTGTACCGATACTATTTAGCTTCTAGAGTTCGAAGTACCGGTACGTAGTATCGGTACGCTGTACCGGTACACTTTGTCTGTTGAAACTTCCAGCGTAATTTTGACCTATTTAAAGGTTGAATTGGAGAATTTTTGTGAAATAAACTTTTGTAGCTCTAGAAGTCTACTATCTATTGTTAAGATTTCAGATTAAATGGACTTCAGAATAAAAAGTTATGATCAAAACACTAGACAGTATCCAAAATCTTTTTTACCCAAATTCTCTCTAGAATGTGTTTTAACTCCGAAATACTTCCTCACTTCTAATATGCCCCATATCACCTCTCCCAAGGTTTATCGACATTCTGGATTCAATGGAGACCTTATCTTGATTTAAAAATATTTAGAAACTTACCTAATCAATATTCTCCAAGTTAAACATATTCAAAACTAAATTTGACCCAAAAATCAATTTATCCAAAACTCAAATTTCATGATCAATCTCTCAACAATAATTCTAAGTTTTTAAAATCATTTTATTCATATTAGGAGAACTCTTAAGATAATTGTATCCTTATTTATTTTATTTTAATACAGGGTCTTACATACCATAAAGACTCAAGTGCACAGGGTTGTGAAAATAAAGGGTAGCTTCAAGGGGCTGTTGATTAAAATTAAAATGCACACAACCCCAATAAAGGGGTACCAAATTAGGGGTATTTCTTACATGTTGTCGGCTCATACTCGAAATTGATATATTAAAAATCAAAGATAAGACTGCTTCACACTTAATTCTTATAGATTTTGTTACAAACAGAAACTTTGATTATTGTTTACTACCATTTTTAGGTCACATTAAACTTGATTCGAGACGTCGATACTTTTATACTCGGGTTCCCCTTGATCATGCTTGGTTTGGTCTTTGGCATCTCTGTTTTCGTCAAAATTGGGAAGGCAGCAAACTGTTTGTACCTCAGAAGTGCTTGACTTCAGCATGGTAGGTAGTTTCTGCTCCTCTGCAGACTTCTTGTGGTTCTTGTAGATGGTGTAGAGTAGCATTTGAAGTAGTCCTAGTACGAATCCCACAACGTTCGGAACCTATAATTTTAATATTCAAACAAACAACAAGGGGCAAAATTTAAAAGTAATGACTTTGAATATGTGTCTACGGAAACTAGCGACAACATTATCGAAAGTTATAATTTTTTTAAGTTAAGTTATTATTTTTTTTATGTATAAGTTACAACTTTAAATTATATGATTGATCATGGAATGTTAGAATCAATACCACATTTTTCGTGATCGATCATGAGTGTCTATGATCGATCATGATCTCCTTTGAGCAGTTATAATTTCTCCTTTCAAAATTATAACTTTATCATATATATTAGTACCAAAAAAAATTAGTACCTCATCACTTGCAATTTTGTTTGGAGTGTCGTATCACTTTTTTGCGTAGAATTTATCAACTTTTAGAATGCATATACTTTTGGATTCACTTATCATTTTTTAAAGGAAGTTTATCGCTTTTTAAGACTAAATTTATAATCTTTTGATCTTTTATTTTCTTTTAATATCGGAAAAAAAATTAATAGCAATCCTACGAACCGCTGACATCCATTGCAGGATAAACCACAGTCTCTCAAGTTCTGCGACTGATTCTACCATAGAGGTTGGCTTCTTATCTACTATCACACTAAAAATTGAGCTTTTTTAATTAAACACCTCTTTTTTGTACCACTTTAATATAAACTATTAGATTAATAAATCCTGTTAAATTCATTAAATATTTAGAGGGTGAGATCAGGCAAATCAGATTTTGTGTATAAGTGTGCACAAAGATGGTACGCATATCACTATTGTTAATTAAAGTGGTGCTCTCATGATTACCGAGGGATGGACTGAGCCTACTGGTGTGTACTTGAGCACCGGAGAAAATATTCATTCCTCGTGTTTCGCTTATGTATCAAAAAATAAATTTTTAAAAATTTTTTTTGGTATTTTTGTGCAGCAAAATTTGTGTTGGTTATATAATTCCAAAAATAATTTTACGGAATAGAAAATAATAAAAATTGTTTGAACAGTAAATTAAAAAACAATGAAAATAGAAATGTGGGGATAGTGAAAGTGTGGTGGTATGGTGGTGGAAGTATAGTAGTGGTGTTTTCTAAATTCTAAAAAGATTGTTTCCAAAAACACAAACTAATTCTAATTTGTTCTCTAAATCTCTCAATTTTTGTTCTCAATTTGCAAAAAATAAAAACAAAAATTAACTTGTCAAATAGTTTTTCATTCAAAATTTATTTTCGAAAATGAAAAACAGTTTATGAGATCTCACATATTTTTGTAATCACTCCTCCATGTTACTTGGTAACCACTCCATGTAAAAAAGAGGGGTTTATTTTATTTGTATGATTATATTTTTATTAAATAATAATATCATATGACGACGTTGATGTTGTGATGATGTCACTATTGCATATCTTTAATGGTATTTTCCCAAATTTGACTTATTTTTAAATGTATCTGGGCAATGGATTGGGTCACAGGCCAATAATTGGGGCTGCTAGTGGGCAATACAGACCAACCCACCTGGCATAGCTGGTTAAAATTTTTGAATGGAATTAATTTTCTTTGGACCTTTTAGAAGGACTTAAGCTAACTAAATAACTAAAATTATGGGCCTTCTCAAATTATGGAACTAAAGCCCAAGCTTTATTAACTATGAGGGAAGGCCGGCCCTGAATTGAGGTTGTGCCATATCACTTGCAATGGTAATTTTGTACAAAATTTTCGAGAAGTGTATGGTTATGGTTATGCTTATGCTTATGGTTATGCAAATAGAGATGATGATGAAATTAGAACATTTGTCCCACTAGGCTCTATGCCACGTTTTCATTTTATGCGAGTCGAAGGTTTGTTGTATCATGTTGGGATGGTAGTTGTGGCGTTGTTGGTTGAATCTTCTCAAGGTTGGGACGAGCCCAAAACACTTGTAATTGGAACAATTCTAAGTTATTAACAAACGAAGAGCACTTACTCCGATATAGATGTCCTTTAGTAGTAAACCGTAAAAGAACCACATGACAGCACTCAATGCAAGGAAAAATGACAGCCAAAATGGCATGAACTCTACACTCTTGGTGCGTACGACCTGTGCCTGCATGGCAAAGCAAAGAAAATATTATGAGAATTTTCCATGGAAAACCATGTTTTCTTGTATCAAAGAATGCATGTATTAATGCCACACTCCTCACCATGATACTTAACGGTGCTGCAAATACACTCACAGACAGTGCCATACATATCCATCCTACTACTCGAACTCGATTCAATCCTTTTAGGAAGAAGATTGTGAGAATCATAATTGACCAAAATCCCCCAAAATTCAGAAGTAGTAATAATTTCAACGTCAGAATCTGCAATGACAGCCCGAGTTAATAGTTACTCAAAAAAAAACCCTATTATTGTCAAAAAATAAAGAACTTTCGTGCAATGGATTAGAGTTTCGAGCAGTACCCTGGCACTTTTTAGTGCATAAACAATGTACAAGGCAATATAAATGGTCTCTATGACACAACCGGCGGCGTTAATGGTGATGAGGAGGATAGCGTTGGATTTGAGCCATGCATAGTATATCCACAACATGGAACTAAAGAGTGCAACCACATATGGGACTGATTGAAAGTCTTCAGTTGATTTTTTCTTGAAAATCCTGTAAAATGTCGGTCTGCAAAGGTGATTCATATTTACTTCTAGTTAGTCCTCTAAGAACTTCAATTAATGGAGTTGTGAAACGGAAAAATTATCATTGAGAAGAATGATTAAACGACAAACTTACACCGGGGCAAGATATACCATAAAGGAAACAATGTTACCTGTAACATTGTCACAACCCAAAAGGAAAGTAAATGAATTAGTAACATTGTCACAACACAAAAGAGATGTAAATGAATCGCACCAGAAGCTTAGCATAAGCTTAAAAAAGGCATATACTTGGCCAAAGTGGTCAGCATTGCATGTGGTTTTTCTTTCTTTTTTCGGTTTAATTGAGAATCGTTCTAACCATGTACATAATCTTTAGACTAATTATTCTAACTCGGAAAACACAAGTTCACACTTCTAAAACCTTCAGCCTAGAGAGAGAAACATGGATATATATTGCAATGCAATCATATTGACACTATTTGAAGAAATAGCTGAAGGGTGATTAAAATGACTGTGATTTTACCTAAAATGCCAAAGGCAAAAACCCATGCATGGTAAATGGAAAACATGACTTCTGTCTCTGTCTCTCTCTCTCTCTCTCAAGGATGGAATATGAAACAACAAAGGTTCTACAGAACACCTAGCTTGGTTTGATCATCCAACCTGCCACAACTCTGTTAAGGTAGGTCTAACATATATATAGACAAGTGAGTCTAAGTTGCTGCCACAATAATTGATAGGGCATGGTAGGCAGACAGATCAGCACCCACTAGCTGGGTAGCTGCCACGGTACCTCCATTGATTATTGGAAGATTCTTGCAGAACGTCAAATAATGGCATGATAAATTAGTGACTTCTCCCAATTTGACATGCAACATAATGTATAGTTTGAAAATCAATACTCATTATATGTGTACAGTTTCATGGTAAAATTTCACTATTATTAAAGAAATGTAGATACGTAGTTTAGTAGTTAGCTCTCAAAGATATTAGATTAATGGTAGGACAAATGACAAGGCATCAACACACACATGTCGAATTAAAGTTCTTCAAACCGTTTTATATCAGAGTTTAATTGATAGATTTAACTGACATATTACGTACTAATGAGATTTATGTTATTCTTCCAAGTCCAAAATATACAAGATTGAAACTATTACCTTATACCAAAAATCACTCCTTAGAGCATCTTTAACCATGACTCAAATTTGAGTAAAAAGCTTGATTTGGTATACTATAATTGGTAAACTCAAATATCTACTCAAATCTTTTGCAAAATTCTCTTATTGTCTCAAAACTCATTTTTTTTTATTCAAATTATGATATTTGATAAAATAAATGAACTTTTATATCTCTCCACAAATGGATGATTAAAAAAAATGAATATGTATGCAACATTAAATGGAAATAAAGAAACCACCCTAAAATTTTAAGATTGTTCTAATCTCTTATCATTTTTTTATAAATTCAAATAAAGAAAAAAGAATAAAAATAATTATTTTGACATAGACTTCGTATGAAGAACACAAAAACATATATTTTTAACAAGAATGAAAAATTGAAGAAATAAAATGACAAATTTTCTAAATTTGTCGGTAGCGAAGGCTTAAGATTTGAGGAAGAATCGGTGGTCTGAAATTGTACTATCCATAGTGCTTAACTCGAAAAAATCAAAGAAATTTTTGATGGGTAGACTTAGGGTTTATAGAGTATGAAAGATAAGTGAGATTAAGGTTTTGAAAAATATAAAAAATTAAGAAAATGGAATATGAAAATAAAAAAACTTGCCTAAAGACCTTCAAATGATATGTGAAAGTTTCGGTGATGGTTGACGATAGAAGTAGTGTAGTAGAGAGAGGCAAGAAAAGATAGAAAACAAGTCGTCGAAGAAGTTTTTTAATTTTTGATAGGTTAAAAAGTTAGCGTTAAAAATTTGGTATAAAATTGGAATCTACTTCAATTTGGATCTAGAATAAATTTTATCTTGATTTGGTATATGTTTCAGTCTAAGGTTGGAGAAGTTTTTTGGACTATTTTGACTCAAATTTATATCAAATTAAGGGAGACTCATTTTTTTACACTAAACAAGAAAGACTGAGATTTCATCATCTTTTGAAGATTCGATGATTATCTTTACTATTTTTTAAATTTGTGTTTGCCCTCATTTAAATTTGAGTTTTTCTTTCTTTAAATTTGAGTTTGTCTATTGGAGCATTCTATATCAAATCAAACTTTTTATTCAAATGTTTATTTGAATTTGAGTAAAATTTAAGTTATTGTTAGTAATGATGAACAAAAGTAAATTTATGCACTATCAATCAGTTGAGTATATGATATAAAGCAATTGATGAAACATTCAACAATAAGAGACAAAGATTGGATAGTTGAGTCTGAGTAACCTAACCACTGAAGACGGCGACGGTGACTGAAGAACTTTATTAATGAGGAAGTAAAATGTAGTAAGAAAGAGAGAGAGTAACAGTACGCTCAAGGTGATATGTGTGAGATCTCTGTATGAGAGATAGTTATATGAGAGAGATAGTTGTCAGTGTCTTATATGTAACGGATTTATAATTTATAGGCATAGAACCATAACTAAGACGGTGATGTGAAGGTCATGTTATTAGTCTTTCGAGGAGGATAGTTACAATTGGAAATTAGCACTACTCTGAAATAATGACTATTTCAATAATTACTCTCCCACGTATATTGACTTTTTCTGAACTCTTAAGTTAAGACCGTGAGATAAATCTGTCTTTTGATAGTTTAGACTCAACTTATGAATTAGACTCAGGTCTGATTTAAATTTAGACTTGTCAGCTGGAATGCTTTTAGTACCAACTAGAAATGTTTATTGGTTTCCGTGTTACATTAGAAAATTTGTTTGTTCAAAGTTCAAACACCCACTTTGCCCAAAAAAAAAAATTAAATAAACACTCCTCCTCATTTGGCCATTTGGATTGGAGTTCCTTTCAATTCTCACCTAACATCACATTATTTAGTAGTAATTTGTAATAGGGGTAATAGCATTTTTTATCCTTAAAAAATATATTTTTTTTGTCAGTTTAGTTCTTATTATATCAATTTAGTTCTTAAAGTATTCAATTCGTATCATTTTGATAAATTAATGGACCATTAAGTTTTTGACAAATTAATCACGTGTTTGACATGTGATATTGTTCAAAAAAATAACACATGATCACTTCTGTTAAAAAATTTGATAAATTGTCTAATCAAAGATTAAAGTGACACCAATTCAACACTTTAAAAATCGAAATTAATAAAATTAATATAATAGAAACTAAACTAACAAAAAAATATATACTTTAAAAATCAAAAATATTATTAACCCTTCAATATAGACAACGAATACAAAACAGTGCCAAACCCCAACCTAACCGTCTCTATCAAATGGCCTATACAAGTTAAAGAAGATCTCATGCCCCAAGTTGAAGATTCGCCAAGTAACTACAGGGTTCTTAAAAACTTGTATCAGTGTCAACTGTTTTTTTTTTTTTTGGGCATATTGGAAGGTTAAACAAAAATTAAATAAACTTGTGTCAGTGTCAACTATCATCAGCAAAATGCTATTGCGTTCTATCTCCAACCTTTTTGACTATCCTATTCGACTGGTGGATTCAAAAGTAGTCAGTCCTCTAATTGTTCCAAGTGTCACCTGTGATCTTTCGAAAACTTCACGCTTATACCCACCAGTCATACATTATTATATTCTCTCTCTCTCTCTCTCTCTCTCTCTCTCTCCTTGCGTACTGTTGTCATTTTGAAAGGTGGTATTTAAATCTATCCCATGTCGATCTGTCTTTGTTTGAAGGGGTAGGATAGATTTTGAAGTAGTAGTGGGATAGTGCTTGAAAGGATAAGATCTCTCAAGTGACAATGCTGTGTCTCTCAATTTAGAATAATTAATCTAGATTGTCTACCTGAAGGTATCTTTGATGATCAGAACAGTTTGAATCCGTACAAATTACTTTAGTGATCCAAAAAGATGCGATGCATAAACTAAAATGCGGTGCCGACCTTACTCCTCGTTCAGAGGTTGAGAAATTGAATTCTAAAGCCCTATTAAAATTTGATGGTTGACCGCTATATTAGTCTAAGTGGATATCTAGTCCCCAAGAGGTGTTTCAGGCTCGGTCATGAACCTTATAATTCTACTAGTGAGGGTCTAACGGAGTGATCGTTGGACGCTCTTTCTTACTCTCATCCCTTTTTCGATCAACAAAAAAAAGTAAAAATCCCAAGTTTATGTTCTCCTATGTATGAACCCGAATCTAAGTTGGTTAGGTGACAAATCGGTTATAGAAGTACTTCGAGTATAGACCGGAACAACAAAAGCTGACCCACCCATTTTCATGCCTAGGACCAAAAGTCCAAGGCAAAGGAAATAGCAGCCGTTGATAGCATGTTGATATGTGTGACTTGTTAGTAATTAGGTTTATTTGAAATTTGTCTTGTTATCATGAATCTAAATAATGTGTACTAGGGACGATTTATCGTTTTATCAATATATATATATATATATATATGATTGAAATAGTTATGCAAAGTAGCGTGAATAAAAATTGAGATTAAATAACAAAAATTATAACCTATTGATTATCTCCATAATATCAGATTACAGCATTCAAAAACCTTGTTAATTCCTAAAAATACTAAGTCTTTTGAAAATTGAAATAGAATTTGTCTCTATGTTTTATTCAAAATAAACCAAAGCTGAAAAAAAAACTTAATGGTCCAAAATTATTAGAAAAATTAAGTAAATACGCAATATTATGAAAATACCCTAAACAAGGAGATAAAAATAAAAAAGTGCCCTAATTTCATTTTTTGGCTAAAAATTAATTTGGATGAAAACAAAAGTCTTTAATCTTGTTCAGATCGTCGAAAACTTTTCAGAATGGAGTTTTATGAAATTTTTTGACACTGTCGCTCAAAATCAACTTTGATTAGTGCTCGATCAGTACTACTTTTGAGAATCTTTATTTGTTATGTAGTCTTATGCTATACGTGTTGTATCA